TCTGCCAACCTAGCAGTTCGAAAGCACGTAAAAAAATGCAAGTAGAAAAATAGGGACCCCCTTTGGTGGGAAGGGAACAGCGTTCCGTGCGCCTTTGGCGTTAAATCATGCCGGCTACATGACCACGGAGATGTCTTCGGACAGCGCTGGCTCTTCGGCTTTGAAATGGAGATGAGCACCGCCCCCTAGAGTTGGGAACGATTAGCACAAACCTGCAAGGGGAACCTTTGCCTTTTTACAAGTTCGAGGATTTGCTGGAAAGAAATGGATTTATATATATATATATGGATTTATTATATATATATATATAATCCTGCAGAGGTGTCTTTCTCCTTTAAACACCAGGCCTGCCCAAAAATTGAGCGGGGGGGGGCACGATACCCACACGCCAGCCATTTTTCCATATGATGATGAAGTCAGCATGACTCATTCTGGAAACAAAAAATCCCCTCACATGTCCTGAAGCCGAAATATTATTTTAGCGTGGAGTTTTATAAGCCTGAAGAAGGGGAGGGGGACCTCTGACTCCTAGACAAACACCAGCCCTGCGAGGTTTGCCCTGAGGTACCTCAAAGGCTTGTTTTTTTTCAATAGTAATTTAACTCTATTAAAGGTTGAGAGAGAGAGAGAGGGAAAGAGAAAGATGATAGATAGATAGATAGATAGATAGATAGATAGATAGATAGATGGATGGATGGATGGATGGATGGATGGATGGATGGATGGATGGATGAATAGATAGATAGATAGATAGATAGATAGATAGATAGATAGATAGATAGATAGACAGACAGATATGGATGGATGGATGGATGGATAGATAGATAGATAGATAGATAGATAGATAGATAGATGATAGACAGATATAGATGGATGGATGGAGAGATGATAGAGGGAGGGGGAGGGAGGGAGAGAGAGAGAGAGATGAGAGAGAGAGATGGGGAGAGAGAGAGAGAGGGAGAGATGGAAAAAAGAGCAGTCAACAGGTTAAGCTAAACAAATCCCTCTGTTAACCATCTCTTATTGTATTTAGCGCGTAGAAAGTCCACAAACGGTTTCCAGACTTTTATAGAAACTGTTTTTGTTCTGTTTTTGTTTTGTATTTTACCTTTTATAATAAAATAAATATACTAAAAACTAAAACGATATCTATCTATCTATCTATCTATCTATCTATCTATCTATCTATCTACCTACCTATCTACCTAGCTATCTATCTACATCTCTCTCTCTCTCTCATCTCTCTCTCCCTCCCTCCCTTCCTCTGTGTGCGTGTGTGTGTGAGTGTATAAAAGGGGAGGAGAATTTACTGGGGTTTTTTCTCTTTTTTTCAGCATCCAGCTGGGGTGGATTCTATATGTTTTAATTTATTTGGTGTTTGGATCAAATGGGCACTTTTTGAGTGCTTTTAATTCGGTTTCCCTTCCGAAATTTGCTTTCTTGGCTGGGGCTGACCAGGTGTGACTCGGAAGGACATGTTTGGCTTCGTTCGTAAGAAGAAGGTGAGGCAAGTTAAAAGTTAAACTCCAGGAAAGGAATGTGATGGCTTCGGAGTGACTGAGGAATTGGCGCCAGGCGAGGTAGATGTCACCTTTGGACGGGGCCATTGCGTCATAAATGAAGAGGATGAAAAAAATAATAATAACCATAATCAAAGGATAGGAAGTGGCTGTTTGTTGGGTGCTTCCCCTCCAATTATTTCTGATTCAGGGTGTGTGTGAGATGGGATGGGATTGTCCAATTCTTTTCAATTGAAAAGAAAACTTTCTTTTCTTTTTTGGGAATTTGGCAATTTGAGAAGAGTATTCTAAATTGTATTCATATAATCAGTGGTAGTTTATCAAGATTAATAGGTATAAACAGAAATACATATTGTTTCCCACAGCCAAAGAGAGAGGTAAAAGGTAAAGGTAAAAGGTTCCCCTCACACATATGTGCTAGTCGTTCCCGACTCTAGGGGGCGGTGCTCATCTCCGTTTCAAAGCCAAAGAGCCAGCGCTGTCCAAAGAGAGGAAAGTTAAGACGATACTAACTATAAAGTTTGCAGAAACTATACAATCCGCCAAATTTCAGTTCCATGGAGTTTCGTATATCCCGGATTATGGATGCATTTTGTAAGTTAGCCCATTTGAAGTAGTATGGTTCAAAAATTGTTGCCCTGCGTTGGGCTATTTTCCCTTCTTAAAGGTTACAAGAATGCGAATTTTAGTGACGTGTGGACTGTTTAGTAATGGTGCCTCCATCCTGGCCTGTAGAATTGTCTCTAGAATAGTAGTAACTGTGAGAAGGATCTTGGAGTCCTACTGGACAACCATTTAAATAGGAGCCAGCCGTGTGCAGCAGCTGCCAAAAAAGCCAACACAGTTCTAGGCTGCATCAACAGAGGGATGGAATCAAGATCATGTGAAGTGTTGATACCACTTTATAAGGCCTTGGTAAAGCCACACTTGGAATATTGCATTCAGTTTTGGTCGCCACGATGTAAAAAAGATGTGGAGACTCTGGAAAGAGTGCAGAGAAGAGCAACCAAGAGGATTAGGGGACTGGAGGCTAAAACATATGAAGGACGGTTGCAGGAACTGGGTATGTCTAGTTTAATGAAAAGAAGGACTAGGGGAGACAGGATAGAAGTCTTCCAATATCTCAGGGGCTGCCCCAAAGAAGAGGGAGTCAAACTATTCTCCAAAGCACCTGAAGGCAGGACAAGAAGCAATGGATGGAAACTGATCAAGGAGAGAAGCAACTTAGAACTAAGGAGAAATTTCCTGACAGTGAGAACAATTAACCAGTGGAACAACTTGCCACCAGAAGCTGTGAATGCTCCAACACTGGAAGTTTTTAAGAAGAGACTGGATAACCATTTGTCTGAAGTGGTGCAGGGTTTCCTGCCTAAGCAGGGGGTTGGACTAGAAGACCTCCAAGGTCCCTTCCAACTCTGTTATGTATTGTATTGTATTGTATTGTATTGTATTGTATTGTATTGTATTGTATTGCATTGCATTGCATTGCATTGCATTGCATTGCATTGCATTGAATTCTATTCTATTCTGCTCTACTCTACTCTACTCTACTCTATTCTATTCTATTCTATTCTATTCTATTCTATTCTATTCTATTCTATTCTATTCATGCACCCTTCAAAAAGGAGATTTCTCTCTTAGGACCTGCAAGTACTGGCAGATGAAATGGATGTGAGTGGGTGTGGGTGTGTTTTTGTGTGCTGTTGTATTGTTTTACAGCAGTTTTTTTTTTTTTAATCTTTGCCACTTTAAATTGGGTGGACTTCAACTCCCTAGAGCTGGCTAGGGAATTCTGGGAGTTGAAGTCCACCCTCTTAAAAGTGCCTAAAGTTGGGGGGAAAAAAACCACTGCTTTAAAATAACAGCATCTAACAAGGTGGGGGAAAGGCCTCCTCGGCAGCCCTGCGTTAAACCGAGACAGAAACTAATCCATAAAATGTTTTTTTGTCTGCCTTTGGCAAAGCACTCCGGCTCTTACGGATCAGGGACGAGTTTTTTTGCGTTTGGCACCCAGAAAAAAAAAGAAAAGAAAAAAGCCCGGCGTGAGAACCAGGAAGAAGGGGTGCCGGCTTCTCTTCTGAATTTTTGTTATAAAGAGGCGGATTGTGGGCTGGCTCATTTGTGTAAGTATAGTTTCAGGATAAGAGCTGAAAGTTGTGCGTCTGGAACGCCTTGTGTGGGCAGCAATTGGGATGCACTTTCCCTGGGAAATTACAGTAAATAGGAGAGAGAGAAAATTGTCCACGGGTGTGCTTTCTTTCTTTCTTTCTTTCTTTCTTTCTTTCTTTCTTTCTTTCTTTCTTTTTCTTTCTTTCGCTTTCTCTCTGTGTTACTGTCTCTTTTTTTTCTGTCTCTGTTTCTCTCTCTCTTTGTCTGTCTCTCTGTCTCTGTCTCTCTTTCTTCCTTTCTCTTTTTCTTTCTTTCTTCTCTGTTTCTGTCTCTCTGCTTCTTTCTCTCTCTCTGTTTCTGTCTGTCTGTCTCTCTTTCTTTCTCTCTCTCTCTCTCTTTTTCTCTGACGCTATCTCTGTGTGTGTGTCTATGTCTCCGTCTCTCTCTTTTTTCTTTCTTTCTGTCTCTAGTTTCTCTCCTTCTTTGTCTGTCTCTCTCTGTCTCTCTTTCCTTTCTTTCTTTCTGTCTCTGTCTCTCTTTCTCTCTGTGTGTCTCTATCTCTCTTTTTTTCTGTCTCTGTTTCTCTCTCTGTCTATCTGTCTCTCTCTTTTTCTTCCTCTTTCTTTCTTTCTCTTTTTCTTTCTTCTGTTTCTGTCTCTCTGCTTCTTTCTCTCTCTCTGTTTCTGTCTGTCTGTCTCTCTTTCTTTCTCTCTCTCTTTCTTGTTCTCTGTCTCTGTTTCTCTCTCTCTGTGTGTCTGTCTCTTTTTTCTTTCTTTCTGTCTCTAGTTTCTCTCTCTCTTTGTCGGTCTCTCTCTCTGTCTCTTTCTTTTTCTTTCTTTTTCTCTCTTTCTGTCTCTTTGTTTCTTTCTCTATTTCTGTCTGTCTGTCTGTCTCTCTTTCCTTTCTTTCTTTCTGTCTCTGTCTCTGTTTCTCTGTGTGTGTCTCTGTCTCCTTCCTTCCTTCCTTCCTTCCTTCCTTCCTTCCTTCCTTCCTCTCTCTTTCTTTTCTCTCTCTTTCTCTGTCTCTCTCTCTCTCTATTTCTTCCTTCCTTCCTTTTCCCGACATTTCAAAAATGGCTCAGAAGCCACTGGAGATCAGAACAGGTATTTTGGAAGGTCATCAAGAAGCAAAAACAATCAAATTTTTCAGGGTTTATATCTCTGCGGGCAAAGCAAGAGTTTTCCCCCATTCCGTAACCTCGAAACGGTAAGGAGAGTACAGGTTCCATCATCCTCTGCCACAGGCTGTCTGGAAACAACGGGTGCTGAATTCGAAAGCAGCCCACCTTGCATTAGCGCTGAATTGTGTAGGGACTGCAGACGAAGGAGGAAGGTGGAGAATTAACACATCCGTCCCGCAAAATTTACTTACCTTTGCAGGAATATATTGCAGTATTTTGTCTGAAGTCACATCTCTCTCATGCTCCGCTTCAAATCCAAAGAGCTCAGCCAGTTTTTTCTTGCTCTCTTGTCTGAAAGGCAATAAAACAGGGCCACAAAAAAAACATCAAGGCGAGCAAACAAAGCGAATCAGGAAGGCATGGAGGGGGAAAGAGGGAATGAGCAATTTATTTTATCACCAGGCTCATCAATGTTTGCAACTCACCAACCGTCAAAAATGCGAAAAGGAATGAGGGACGCTGCCCCAGCTTTGCTTTACTGTCTTGTTCAGGTTGAACTATAGAGAGCCAGTTTGAGGAAGAGGGGAGAGGAGAAGAGGGGAGAGGAGGGGAGGAGAGGGCAGAGAGGGAGGGAGGGAGGGAGGGAGGGAGGGAGGGAGGAAGGAAGGAAGGAAGGAAGGAAGGAAGGAAGGAAGGAAGGAAGGTAGGTAGGTCTTAAGACAAAGTTGTGACACCGGTCTCAGGGAAGAGCAATAGCTTGATTATTGCATACCTGCTAATAGGTATTGCATAATATATGTTTACTTATTACCGAATTAACCTACATTCTGGATTTGTAGTAACTCACTCAACCATAAAACCCAACGAGGCCACTATATATACCTCAATTAAAGTGAAAACTAACCAGCTTTAAGCATGTACTGTGTTTTTACCCAACGTAGATATGGGCCTGATGCAAATCTGTGTCTAAAATATAAATATTCCTGTAGGCACTTCTTAGTGGTCTCCACTCCCTCCCCCAAGTTTTAGACACCGTTTAGTTCCTGAATTCAGACCAGGTAGGCTGATAACTAATACGCAGCAAAATAAAAAGGCACTTCACCCCCATATTCTAACCACCAACATTAAAATCAGTGTTGATTTTAAAAAAGTTAAAGTGAAGAATACAACACCACATGTCATAAATTGACAGTGATCGGATCCAGGTTGCCTAAATCCCATCGACCACGAGGGGGCAGCATTACTTGGTTTCTTTTCCTCTAAGTTGCCCCCTAGTGGCCCTTGAGATTTTGGCAACCCAGATCTGAGAGTCTTAATAAATCACACAACGATCAAAAATTATTTAGGGCAATGGGCTTTTCTGTTGACATTACGAATGACGATGAAACATTCCCCTTTGTTCCTAGTAGGAGTCAATTTTTGGCGATCGTGGCAGGATTAAAAAAAGTATTATCTCCCACTCGTTTGAGATCGGGGGAAGATTTGAAACTTGGAGATTCGAGAAACTGGCCACATCTAAAAGGGATCCGACTTCTGAATCGATTCCTATCAGCCTGTGTTTATCTTTCCTAGCCCATCAGAAAGAATGAGGACCCACAACCAAAACACGAACAAAGCAACAAAACAAAATGAGCCAACTTTCGGTATGACGTCATCTCATTTCCCTATCCAGTTCACCAGAGATCACAGGGACCGATTGATAATATTTACAAACAAAACAAAACGAAGATAAATGCAGCCATCTAATTGGAAAAAAGGGGACTCCTTGATTGTGAAAGGCTGAAACACCCACACCCACAAACACACAATTTTCCATGTTCCCTGTGCCTGTAATTTTAGCAATTCTTTTCTGAGATGGTCTTGGACAAGGGTCAGCAACCAGCGGCTCTGGAGCCACATGTGGCTCTTTCACCCCTCTGCTGCGGCTCCCTGTCACTCAAAATATGCAATGTGCAAGACCTGTGGCACGCGATTTATTGAGCTTCTCAAACCTCAGTTGGCCAATCGTGGATAAATCCAAGAAAAGAAAAGTTTCAGAAGAAAACAGAACGTTTAATTCGACTACATATGCTAGTTTTGTGGCCGCTCAAGAAATAGTCAGGCACGGGAAGGTTTTTGTGGCTCCCGGTGTTTTCTTTTTTGTGGGAAACGGGTCCAAATGGCTCTTTTGAGTGTTTAAGGTTGCAGACCCCCTGGGCTTGGGGAGCATGCCCCACCCCAGGTTTGGCAAAATGGCTGTCCTCATTTGAATCCCACTTTGCAAAGAGGGGAATTGAAAGCGTGCTCGCTTTCCTTCGAACACCCTTTCACAATTCCTCGGGGCAGTGTCACAAAAAAAGAAACGAGTCCCCACGTGAGCAGGGCACAGTTTGAAATCAGGCCTTCTATTGGGCTGTGTTTTGGAAAGCACATCCATACACCCGGCCTGTGGATTGCACATTTATTTTTTATTTTTTATTTTGTGCAATCGGGAACATGTGGGAAAATGGACTTTCCGTATAAGATGGGGAAATATTTTCCAGTGCCCACAGCCAACTCTAATTCATACTGTCCTTTAAAAGCAGTTGTGCGCCTGCACACACTTATGCAACAGAGTGATAGAAAGCCCAAGTGTCTGGTTACTTAGGCGTCTCACAATTCGAAGCTGACACTTGGTTCCCCTTCCCATAAACGGGAGTGGGGTGTGGGGTGTCAGCCACCCATAATTTTCAAACTGGGTGAGAAAAAAAAAACCCATCCTACTGTGTTTCCCCGAAAATAAGACCCTGTCTTATATATTTTTTTGAACCCCAAAATAAGCGCTTGGCCTTATTTTCGGGGAGGTCTTATTATTTGGGGGCGCGTGGAGCAAAACGGGGCTCCTCTTGCCGTCTTAACCTGATTTCCAGCTTTGCGTTTAAATATTTTCAGGGAGGGCTTATTTTCGGGGGGGGAGGCTTATTCAGCCGAGGTGGCGCAGTGGTTAGGGTGCAGTACTGCAGCTACTTCAGCTGACTGCTAGTTCAGCAGATCAGCAGATCAAATCTCACCGGCTCAAGGTTGACTCAGCCTTCCCTCCTTCCGAGGTGGGTAAAATGAGGACCCAGATTGTTGGGGGGCAATATGCTATTTAGTAGACTGTCTTTGGTGTAAGCTGCCCAGAGTCCTCGGAGAGTGGGCGGCATAGAAATACGACTAATAAAATAAATAAATAAATAAATTTGAGTGCATGCGCTCAAAAGCCCCATTGGGGGTTATTATCAGGGGATGTCTTATTTTCAGGGAAACAGGGTAGATGTCTTGATATATTTATATTATTAGCCATGCCATGTGCTGTGCTAGCTGGGGATGATGAAATTTGTAGTCCGACCTCTCCGGGGAAGGGGGGGGGAAAGCAAAATAACGAGTAGGCCCAACGACAACTGACAGGTTTTGTGGGGATTTTAGTGGGGCAAGTTAGTTTCATAAAAGCAAAAATAATAATAATAATACTTTTAACCCTGCCCTGATTTTCAAGAAGAGACTGGACTGCCGTTTTGTCAGAAATGGTGTATAGGCAGGGTCTCCCTAGGTAGGGCAGGGGGCTGGACTAGATGACCTACAAGGTCCCTTCCAACTCTGTTTAATCGGTCAGAATCCGATGTTTGCTAAAAACAGAACAGGGTCTAGTGGAAACGGACAAGCGTTTCCCAGTTTCACTCACGTCTCCTGTGCAATTAAATTAGTCAGCTATGACAAGTAATATGCAGGTCGAGATTGGTTTTTTTTTCCCACGCCGTGCAAAAGCAGGTAATTTTTTTTTTTAAAAAAAAACAACACCTATGAAATAATAATTAGGTATTACGTTTACAACCCACCCAACTTCCAATGACTTTGGGCGGTGAGTACAACTTTGCAGTTATGCACACAGACACAGACAGAGAGGGAGGGAAAAAAACACCCTTTAAAAGGGAAGAGAAAAGCCAAATGATTTTTGAGATTTCTTTAAATGCTTTTCTTCCCTCTCGTCTTCTTTAGGGAGGGGGACAACCCCCAACCCCCACCCCCACTAATGCAATTCTGAATCTTCTTCTCGCAATTGCAGGAAATATTTAGGATTATAAATAACTTAGAAGGATCTGGGAGAAGAAAGAGGGGTATTTTTAGCCCCTTCTCTAGTATAAGCAAAGAGAAGGGACCACAAAAGTTTGCATTCTAGGTTAACTTGAATTGTTGTTGTTTTTGTGTGTTTTTTTTCCCTACTGAAAAAGCAGGGTTACAAGAGAACCGAACATCCTAGGCAATACATAATAAGGAATATAAACCCCATTGAGCACAAGGGGTAAAGCCCCACAGATTCGGTATGGTACATTTTGAATGAGTGGGACTCCAATTTCCCAGTGGGACAGCCTTTTTTAAAAAAACGACTACAATTAACTTTAGACGGGGCAACGCACACAACAGAAGTGACAGAAACAAAAGACGAATTAAAATAAAACTTTCCCCCCCCCTTCCTTTCTTCTCTCGGCAGAAGAAAATTACTTCTTCTTCTTCTTCTTTTTTTAAATAAAGAAAGAATTTGCAGACAAACTACCCTTCATCCCGCGATCCGGGGGATCGTATTATTCTACGAACATTTGGGAGTTATAAATCCTTGGGGGAAAATGACACGCGCAGCCGAAACCCTGAGAAGGGAAGGGAAGGGAAGGGAAGGGAAGGGAAGGGAAGGGAAGAGAAGAGAAGAGAAGAGAAGAGAAGAGAAGAGAAGGAGGGAGGGAGGGAGGGAAAGAAAAAGAAGGAAGGAAGGAAAGAAAGAAAGAAAGAGGGAAAGAAAGAAAGATAGATAGAAAGAAGGAAGGAAGGAAGCTAAGAAAGAAGGAAGGAAGCAAGGAAAGGAGGGAGGGAGAAAAGGAAGGAAGGAAGAATGGAGGGAGGGAGGGAAAGAAGGAAGGAAGGAAGAAAAGAAAGAAAGAAAGAAAGAAGGGAGGGAGGGAGGAAAGAAAGGAGGGAGGGAGGGGGGAAAGAAAGAAGGAAGGAAGGAAGAAAAAGAAAGAAAGAAAAGAGGGAGAGAGGAAAGAAAGGAGGGAGGGAGGGGGAAGGAAGGAAGGAAGAACGGAGGGAGGGAGGGAAAGAAAGAAGGAATGAAGGAAGAAAAGAAAGAAAGAAAGAAGGGAGGGAGGGAGGGAGGAAAGAAAGGAGGAGGGAGGGGGGAAAGAAAGAAAGAAGGGAGGGAGGAAGGAAGGAAGGGAGGGAGAGAGGAGGGAGGGAGGAAAGAAAGGAGAGAGGGAGGAAGGAAGGAAGGAAGGAAGAGAGGGAGGGAAAGAGAAAGGAGGGAAGGAGGGAGAAATGAGGGAAAGAAAGAAAGAAAGAAAGAAAGAAAGAAAGAAAGAAAGAAAGAAAAAGACGGAAAGGAGGGAGCTGGGACTCACTCTTTTTTGAAGGAGTTTTTCCGAGAAAAGGAATATCGGAAGCGGCCGGGCGTTTGGGGGACGCAAGCCATGTTCCCCATCTTCCGAAGTCGGGGCGACGGAGTCCCGCTCGCAGCGTCGGAAAGCCAGCAGCAGCCAAGAGGCGGAATGCGGGAGCCCCCGGCCGGCCGGCCGCCTGGAGCGAAACCCAGAAGGTGTGTGGCTTGGTTGGGGCGTCTCTCTCTCTCTGTGTGTGTGTGTGTGTATGTGTGTGTCATGCGAGGCTTCCTCACTTCCGTCTTCTCCGAGAGAATGAGCCTCTGGGCGTGTGTGTGTGTTGTGTGTGTGCAAGCCGTTTTGGCCAAAGGATCCTTTCGGCTGCTCACTTTCTGAGAACTGCCAACAGCAAGGCATACACACACGGGCGTGCAAATACACACACACACACACACACACACAAAAGCCGATTGGCTGTTTGTGGTGGCTGCTTTTTTGGGGGGGGAGGGCAGGGAACTGGAGGGATTTTCTAAAGGTGCGTTCCAGCCTTCCCCCCCCTTTTTTTTTTGTTTTACCTGTAAGAGAGACAAAAAATTGGCTTGAAAACCTGGCTTGAGTCTTCTTTGAGGCAGTTTAGTTTAGTTTAGTTTAGTTTAGTTTAGTTTAGTTTAGTTTAGTTTAGTTTAGTTTAGTTTAGTTTAGTTTAGTTTAGTTTGGGGTGGGGTGGGGTGGGGTGGGGTGGGGTGGGGTGGGGTGGGGTGGAATAGAATATACAATACAATACAGAATAGAATATAGAGTATAGAGTATAGAATATAGAATATAGAATATAGAATACAATACAATACAATACAATGCAGGATAGAATATAGAATAAAGAATAGAATAGAATATAGAATATAGAATAGAATAGAATAGAATAGAATAGAATAGAATAGAATAGAATAGAATATAGAATAGAATAGAATAGAATAGAATATAGAATAGAATAGAATATAAAATAGAATGTAGAATAGAATAGAATATAGAATAGAATAGAATAGAATATACAGAATAGAATAGAATATAGAATAGAATAGAACAGAATATAGAATAGAAATAGAATAGAATAGAATAGAATAGAATAGAATAGAATAGAATAGAATAGAATAGAATAACAGAGTTGGAAGGGACCTTGGAGGTCTGCTAGCCGAACCCCCTGCTTTGCTTTGCTTTGCTTCGCTGTCGTTGCACCCCGTACAACGAAATTAAATGCCACCTTCAGTGTACGTTATACGTAAAAAAAAAATAAAAATAGAACAAGAAACACACATCCTTCCCATTCTGTACCAATGAATTGAAAAAACCCCTGATGCGGCATTATTATTGCACTATTATACACTAGTATTCAATATAGTTACTGCTCTGGGGTAGAAGCCTATTCGTCCTTGTTTTTGTTCTGCTGTACCGTCTGCCAGATTGTAATAGTTCAAAAAAAAAAGGGGGGGGTGCTCAGGATGAGATGGATCTTTTGAACTTTCTTAAGGCGGCGGGAACTATGAAGTTTAACACAATAGCTTGTGTGGAGATAGAGTTGGAAGGCAGGAAACTCTATACCACTTCAGACAAAGGGTTATCCAACCTCTTCTTAAAAACTTCCAGTGTTGGAGCATTCACAACTTCTGGTGGCAAGCTGTTCCACGGATGAATTGTTCTCACTGTCAGGGAATTTCTCTTCAGTTCTAGGTTGCTTCTCTCCTTGATTAGTTTCCATCCGTTGCTTCTTGTTCTACCCTCACTGCTTTGGAGAATAGCTTGACTCCCTCTTCTTTGGGGCAGCCCAGGGGTGAAATCCAGCAGGTTCTGACAGGTTCTGGAAAACCGGTAGTGGAAATTTTGAGTAGTTCGGAGAACCGGTAAATATCACCTCTGGCTGGCCTCAGAGTCGGGTGGGAATGGAGGTTTTGCAGTATCCTTCCCCTGGAATGGGATGGGAATGGAGATTTTACAGTATCCTTCCCCTGTCACGCCCATCAAGCCACGCCCATCAAGCCACACCACGCCCATCAAGCCACGCTCACAGAACCGGTAGTAAAAAAAAATTGGATTTCACCACTGGGGCAGCCCCTGAGATATCGGATCATTCGGCGGAATAGGTTGTAAAAAAAATGCTTTAAAAAAGTTTTTTTTAAAAAAAAAAAGTTGGCCACGCCCACCGAGTCACATTACTCCTCCTCCAAGCCACGCCCACAGAACTGGTAGTAAAAATTTGACATTTCACCACTGATCTTAGGGGATATTATGCTGAAAGCATGGAAAAGACCCTACAGTGTTTACAGGCGAACGGTTGACTTATTGTGCTGTAGAGTGGGTGACTCATAAATTTTACAAATACATAAATAATTGTTTTTTAAAAAATTGGCTCTGCTCCTTTGACAAGCAGGGCCGGGGCCTGTGTTGCCTTTAAAAAGGGGACCATCAGGAGATCCTACCCATAAAAGCTGGAAAAATATCCCAGCAGAAAGGAATTTTAAACCCCTTTGCCAAGACAAAAAAAACACGACACGGATGTGTCCGTGAAGTCAAAAGCCAGGCGTGGAAGGAGACTTGATGCTTTGCAGTTTGGGAATGAAATGGTGGGAGGAAGAAACTGACGTTCAAACTGAGCACTCCCAGATGCTGGGACAGACTGGGGGTGGGGGTGGGGGTTCCAGATGTGCAAAGAGGCCATCTGTCTGTGGTGTCTTTTGCACAATCAACACCCTGCTTTTCAGAATACTTCTTGAAGGACAGGAAGAAGCTCATTGGAAAGGGAAGGGAAGGAAAGGAAAGGAAAGGAAAGGGGGAGGGGGAAGGGAAGGGAAGGAAGTGAAAGGAGGATGAAGAGGGAAGGGAAGGATGAAGAGGGAAGGAAAGGGAAGGAAAAGAAGAGGAGGGAAGGGAAGGGAAGGAAAGAAAGGGAAAGGAAGGGAAAGGAAGGGAAAGGAAGGGAAAGGAAGGGAAAGGAAAGGATGAAGAGGGAAGGGAAGGAAAAGAAGAGGAGGGAAGGAAAGGAAAGGAGGAAGATGGAAGGAAAGGAAAGGAACGGGGAAGGGGAAGGGAAGGAAGTGAAAGGAAAGGATGAAGAGGGGAGGGGAGGGAAGGAAAAGGAGGAGGGAAGGAAAGGAAAGGAAAGGAAAGGAAAGGAAAGAAGGAGGAAGAGGGAAGGGAAGGAAGTGAAAGGAAACAATGGAGAGGGAAGGTAAGGGAAGGAAAGGATGAAGAGGGAAGGGAAGGAAAGGAAAAGTTGAAGAGGGAAGGAAAGGAAAGGATGAAGAGGGAAGGGAAGGGAAGGAAAAGAAGAGGAGGGAAGGGAAGGAAAGGAAAGGAAAGGGAAGGGAAGAAGGAGGAAGAGGGAAGGGAAGGAAGTGAAAGGAAATGATGAAGAGGGAAGGAAAGGAAAGGAAAGGATGAAGAGGGAAGGAAAGGAAAGGATGAAGAGGGAAGGGAAGGAAAAGAAAGGAAAGGAAAGGAAAGAAGGAGAAAGAGGGAAGGGAAGGAAGTGAAAGGAAACGATGAAGAGGGAAGGGAAGGGAAGGAAAGGATGAAGAGGGAAGGGAAGGGAAGGGAAGGAAAGGATGAAGAGGGAAGGGAAGGGAAGGAAAAGAAGAGGAGGGAAGGGAAGGGAAGGAAAGGAAAGGAAAGAAGGAGGAAGAGGGAAGGGAAAGGAAGGGAAAGGGAAGGATGAAGAGGGAAGGGAAGGGAAAGAAAGGAAGAGGGAAGGGAAGGGACAGGAAGGGAAGGGAAAGGAAGGGAAAGGAAAGGATGAAGACGGAAGGGAAGGGAAGGAAAAAGGAAAGGAGGGAGGGAGGGAGGAAATAGAAGGAAGAATAAATGGATAATAGAGGAAAGGGAAAGGGAAAGGGAAAGGAAAGGTCAGCAGAAATGCAGAATAATAATGATAATCCTGGCGTGTTCCAATCCATTCCTTGATCGAATCCCCTGCGGATACCGTAAGTGACATCTTCATCCTTCCCTCCCAATAGATGCTTCCTTCTAAGACACTAAACTGAGCCCAATCATCATGGCTTGTTAAGGGAATTCTGGGGGTTGAAGTCCACCCATCTTAAAATCCCCAAAGCTGAGAAACACTGCCACCTCTACTCCAACCAGTTCGCTGTAGGAAGCCTTTTATTAATTTTAAGGACCATGATCATTTCTCTCCCCCACCCCCTTTTTTTTTTCCAAATCCAAGGTGGTATTTATACTGCCTGGGGGAGGGGCAGGAAAATGAGCTCACGATCCATGCCCGTCATTCCCAGGCGGCGTTCCAAATTTGGGATCCCTCTTCCTTTGTCTTTCTCCCTCTCCCTCTCCCCCCTCTCTCTCTTTTCCTAAAATTAGTGCCAACGTGGGCATTGCCCACCGGAATTTCCTTTCCTGTGCCCCGAGAAGAATGTGCTTCCAAAGGATTTGAAGAGAACGAACCCACGAAGCGAAAGTAACCGTAACAGAATTGGAAGGGATCTTAGAGGACATCTAGTCCAACCCCCCCCTTGCTTCCAGATTGCTTCTCCTCCTTGATGAGTTTCCACCCGTTGCTTCTTCTCCTGCTTTCAGGTGCTTTGGAGAATAGCTTGACTCCCTCTTCTTTGGGGCAGCCCCTGAGATATTAGAAGACTGCTATCCTGTCTCCCCGTCTTTTCATCAAACTAGACATGCCCAGTTCCTGCAACCGTTCTTCATATGTTTTATCCTCCAGTCCCCTCATCCTCTTTGTTGCTCTTCTCTGCACTTTTTCCAAAGTCTCAACATCTTTTTTTCTTTTTTGTAATGTGGTGCAACTACACCTACCGAGTAATTCTAATCAAATTTCCTGATGTAATATTTTAAAAGCTGATCAGAACCGTAGGAGAAATAGAAGAGCGATTGAATCAACAGTTTCTATACTTTCGGGAAAGTAAGCGAGGCCGACTCGATGGTTTGGACTGGGGAGTTATTATTACTCCTGTCGCTGGGACGGTGATAATGATTTTAATGTTCGCATTGTGCCATCCTTCTGAGGCCCAACACACGCATAAGGCACGGCCTACTTGAAACAAAATTGATCCGGTGGCACAAGCAACCTTTAATTGTCTGCTTAAAACCTCGGGCAATCAATCAAACTGGCAACTTGAAAGCTTTGCAAGTTGACATTAATTAGGGCATCTTTCGGAAACTTGACACAAACTTTCATTGGGATCTTCTTTAAGCCAGAAAACACTATAATAAAAACATACATAAGGCTCTAATTACTGTATTCATAGAACTAAAAAAAAGTAGACAGACAATGCAACAGAATAAAAGGGCTAAAAAAAACAAAACAGATTTTGAAGGAGGACGAAGAATCAATAAAGCAGAAATAGGCATACTAAGTGTACGGAAAGTGCTTGCAATGTGATAGAGAAAAAACGAAGCAGAAAACAGAAAATCATCTTTATCTATGTATCTTTTTATCTACCTACCTACCTACCTACCCACCCACCCACCCACCCACCCACCTACCTACCTATATCTATCATCTGTCTGTCTGTTTCTCTCTCCATATATATATCTACCTACCTACCTATATCTATCATCTGTCTATCTACCTACCTACCTACCTACCTACATCTATCTATCTATCTATCTATCTATCTATCTATCTATCTATCTATTCTATCAATCATCTACCTACCTACCTACCAATCTACCCTACATCAATCTCTATCTACCTACCTACATGCCCACCTATCTACCTACCTATCTCTATCATCTATCTACCTGTCTATCTATCTACCTACCTACCTACCTACATCTATCATCTATTAATCTACATGCCCACCTATCTATCTACTATCTCTCTATCTATCTATCTATCTATCTATCTATCTATCTATCTATCTATCTACCTATCTACCTATCTACTTATCTACCTACATCTATCATCTACCTACCTACCTACGTGCCCACCTATCTACCTGCCTACCTATCTCTATCATCTACCAACCTACCTACATGCCCACCTATCTACCTATCTATCTCTATCGTCTATCATCTATCTATTTATCTATCCATCTATCTACCTACCTACCTACCTACCTATCTCTATCATCTATCTACCTATCTACATGCCCACCTATCTATCTATCTATCTATCTATCTATCTATCTATCTATCTATCTATCTATCTTTTTGTCCTCCACCCAGCAAACATGAGTTTTAAGCGAAGGGGAGGAAGGATGCCAAAGCGATTACAACATTTTATCACACCCTGTTTCACGGTTTGCTTTGAACTTTTTTTTTTTTGCAAACGGCATCAAAATGCGTGCCAGAGATCTGGCTTTGAAACTGGAATATTTTGGATTCCTTTGGCGGGGGGGGGGGGGGGTGGGACAGCATGCAGCCTGTTTCCTGCATTTTCCCACGGTGGAAATTCTGCCCGGTCCACGAGAAAAACTAGCCCTGACTAACTTCTGAAACCCACTCTCTGTTTGCTGGTGGGTTGAAAGGGGGCTCCGTTAGGAGACGGCCTCTGTGCACACCCCTTTATGCAACGGATGGTTATTTATAGACGTTTTGAGTCTGGAGAGCAGGTGGAAAAAGAATTCTGTTAACCGATCCCCGATAGATTTTCCAGCATCATTTGCATCAACATTTTCCCCTCCGCATGGGAATCTTCCAGTAGAAACTGGAACGCAAGCCTCTGAGTCACACAGAGCCCTTCCTCGTCTTGAAAAAAAAAAACCCCAAAATAACAAAAAAAAATGGGCTACCCAGGTTATGGCTTGAAACTGTAGTATAGTCAGACCACGTATAATTGACAGGCTGGATTTTATGATAGGTTTTAGTTGTTATTTATTATTTTTTCCTAGAATTTTGAATTGTATCTTTACAGAGGGTTTTTATTTGTTCTGGTCTAAGACGGTAATAATGGGACGCGGTGGCTCAGTGGCTAAGACGCTGAGCTTGTCAATCGAAAGGTCGGCAGTTCAGCGGTTCGAATCCCGAGCGCCGCGTAACGGGGTGAGCTCCCGTGACTTGTCCCAGCTTCTGCCAACCTAGCAGTTCGAAAGCAGGTAGAAAAAATGCAAGTAGAAAAATAGGGGCCACCTTTGGTGGGAAGGTAACAGCGTTCCGTGGGCCTTTGGCGTTGAGTCATGCCAGCCACATGACCACGGAGACGTCTTCGGACAGCGCTGGCTCTTCGGCTTTGAAACGGAGGTGAGCACCGCCCCCTAGAGTCGGGAACGACTAGCACATAGGTGCGAGGGGAACCTTTACCTTTACCTAAGTCTGTAATAAATTGATTGATTGGTTGACATAAATTGTGGCCGTACGTTGAGGATTACCCGTATAAAATTAGCCTTCTTAGAAGTAGCTAAAATTCATGCACTGACCTCCGAGATCTTTTGCCTGGAAGGAGTTTTGACATGCAAGCAGCCAGGGTCGCCAATCCGTGCTTACCATTCCGAACAGAGAAGACATACCTGGCATACATGTTTGTAAAGTCATCCATGTCTCTAATCCCGTTTTGGACCGAGTCCCTTTGGCTGGAAGCGGTTACCTTTATAGCAGTCTCGAGGGTCAAACTCAGGGCAGGTTTAAAAATAAATATATATATATATATTAAAAAATAAACCTGAAAATGAGTCAGAGAGTCAAGAAAAATCTAATTTATTTTATTATTATTTTTTATTTTATTTTACACAACTGGCTTGTATTGCTCATATTTCCCCCCCCTTTTTTTTTTGTTATAGTGCAAAAATTGAGAAACACAAAATAAAAGTGGACGTTTTAACGGCACATAAATAAATCCGACACACGTAATACAGATAAATTAACACGTACACCTCTTCCCTCTTCAAGGCATCTCCAACCTAGGGTGAATAAGCTGGGGATTTGCACCATGGATAGATCAGAGATCGTACTTTTAACAGCAGCGGAGTTGGAAGGGACCTTGGGGGTCATCTGGTCCACCCCCCTGCTCACACAGGAAGACCTGTACTGGGGATTCGAACCCCCGATCTTTCTGATTGACAAGCTCTGTGTATTAGCTACTGACTTCAACAGGAGCTCAGGGGCAACAAGGAAGATGAGATTATTTCTTTCTTTCCTTCCTTCCTTCCTTCCTTCCTTCCTTCCTTCCTTCCTTCCTTCCTTCCTTCTTTCCTTCCTTCCTTCGTGACTAGCTCACATTTATGGCCGTTTGCAACATCCCATACGGTGGGGTATTTTTTTTTGGCAATTCCCATTGTTTCCTTCTGACTTCCAGCAAAAAAACCCACCCATGGGTGAAAATGGGACGGCTGCAAAAAAAAGCGATCTGTTTAACGACCGTAATTCCGGGCTCAATTATGGTCATAAATGGAGGACTTGCCTGTAATGGTAATTCAGGTGGGAAGTTGAAAGCTAGTCTTGAATTAAACTAAAGGGGTGGGGAGAGGGAGAGAAAGCGAGGACGTGAGTGAAAAGGGGCTTCCAAGAAGGATAAACACTGCCAATTCCTTTCGTAGTTACGGCTACCGTATCCTCCATCGTTACCAAACCCGCCATCTTTCCTTGCGCTCCAATCGTACGTTGAGGATCGTAGCATCTCTCTTCCGATTGGCAAAGACGCCACCGAAACGTGGTAGCAAAAAAAAGGAGGCAAAGAAGCAATCGCTTTGGCCAAGGCTCTCCGACCTTGGGTACTCTTAAAACGAGTGGACTTCAAGTCCCAGAATTCCTCAGCCAGCCATGCTTTGGCTGGGGAATTCTGGGAGTTGAAGTCCACCAGTCTTAAAGGACCCAAGTTTGAAGGTGCCATGCCTTTGTCCTTCCCATCTCCGCAAACGAAGTGACTCCTACATAAGGACGTCCTCTGCAAAAGCATCTTCTCCCACCACCCCAAAAGGAAGACCCCTCCCCACCCCCAAGGACCCACCCAGTGGTAGGATTCAAATAATTTAATTGACCGGTTCTCTGCCCTAATGACAAGCTGGGTGGGTGTCGCCATGGTGGGCGTGGCCAGGGATGTGTGACAGGCAACACTCGGCCTCCTGCACCCTCTTGGGAGCAAAAAACGGGCCACGGAGGGGGCTCCCCACCCCCGCTGCCCGTTTTGGGCCTAGTAGGCCTCCCTGCAGCCTCCTGGGAGCAAAAACGGGCCGTGAGGGGTGGGGTGTCACGCTGTACCCCCCTGCCCTTCTTTGGGCCTAGTAGGCCTCCCTAGATTTATCTGGAAGCCAAAATGGGGGACTCCTGAAAGGGGAGGGGCAGGGAGGGGAGGGGCCAGCCAGAAATTTAACAACCGATTCGCTCGAACCGGCTGAATCCTACCACTCGACCCACCCAAACAAGGTTTTTTTCTTCAATTCCTATATTTTCACATTAGGGACGTGAAAAACGTCATCTGGCTGGTAACACTTCAATTGTTCCTCTTCAAGAAATTCAGAAACTGCTTGGGAAGAGGGAGGTATCCACGGATAAATTACAGAAGGGCAAAAAAAAATCCCCGACGTCTGTAACTAGGATCAATTGGGAATATCTGATTTGTAGGCCAGAAAGATCTTGAAAATGGATATTGCCTGGAGAAAATCCTAGCTTTTCCGCTAGGTTTTGCCTGAGTGTTTCTCAGGCTTGGCCCCTTTAAGACGTATGGACTTCAACTCCCAGAATTCTTCCAGCCAGCTATGAATTCTGGGAGTTGAAGTCCGCCTGTCTTAAAGTGACCAAACACTGCTGTAAACAGCATGAAAAGGAATTTTATCAACATCTTCCGATGCAAGCATTTTCTACCCCACTCCGGCACAAACGGATGAGAAAGACCCATAGGCTTTGCTCCCCATAGACAACCTGCCCCACTGAAGGACCCCAAAAGCAAAGTGAAGGCACTTATAAAAAAAAAAAACACAGAACACTGTGAAAACAAATTTCCCAAAATGAATGCAGCGGATCAAACTCTGATAAATGGTTCCCACCCCGTTACAGCACTCAGGATTTGCAAAACTATGTTTCCGGGTGGAAGGCCGAGCACAATGCCAGACGAGCTACAGATTTACAGAAATTGTCCGTTGGAAATGTCTCTTTGCAAAAATGCCTTCGAAGCTAAGCCACGATGCTTATAAATCTTAAATCATGGATACAGAGAAGCCCAGCAAAGCTGCCCTTTGGATTCACCCTTGGTGGCAAGCAGGCCACGGTTTGTTAATTGTTGTTTGTTTGTTTTTTTCAAATCATGGCTTATATGAACGGTAGGATGTGTGGACTTCAACGCCCAGAATTCCCAGCCGCGGACATCTTGGCTGGAGTATTGAAGAAGAAGTGGGCCCATAAACTGTGGTTTGCTAACAAAATATGGCACCAAGCATTCGGCAGTCTGTTTGTGATCGTGGCTTATCCAGCTAGGGAAGCTCACCGATCGTGGTTCGTAAAGCAGATCGCAGGAGGATGTGTTTAATCGTGGCTTGATGCATAAACCTCACTGCTGACCCAGAACCCCCAAAATTTGAAGCAAATTTGAATGAGGAATCTCCGAAGCTTGCGAGTTGGATGTTCAGTTCAAGCTGCCCCCAACCCTATACAGCATCGTTGCAAACTGGCCCAGTGAACGTCACAGTGAAACCAGCGACAAAATAAATAAATCAACACACAAACAAACGAAACCGAAAAAAAACCCCCCAGAAGCAGCAAAGGGGTTACTGGTAGAATAAGCATTGGCTGACTTACGAAGAGCCTCTGGGTCATGGCCTCTCCCACAGAATTCTCATTTTTTGCACCCAAAATGGCAAAGACAAAGAGAGATCATCCATACACAGTGGCACTTATCTTCAAGAAACTTCCTTTTCTCTCTCTCTCTCTCTCTCTCCCCACCCTGATTTTTTCCACGCCAGGCTAGCTGGCATCCGAGCTGGGCTTTGTAGTCCAAAGCGGAGGGGTAAACAGTACGACAATTAGAACTTCTTCAAGGGAAGTCCTGAAACGTAGTGCATTTTCCTTGCGTTCCAAATAATCCTCCCAAAATTTTAAGTGCCGCGCCATGTTACTCTCCGTGAGAATTATTCCTTTTCGACCGTCTTCTTAGTGCTTGGAGAACAAAATCCACGTAACGCAATTAATATTGTGTAGTTTCACGCTCCCTTCCAGGAACGAGCGTGGCAGCAGGATAATACTCTGAAATCAAGACAACTTTTTTTTTTTAGGCAGGAATTGTTGGGACAAGCCTGGCCCGGTTACGGTGCCAAAAAAAAAAACAGACGAGACGCACAATGCCGAATTGGTCCATTCAAAAGGAAGGCTGTGATTTAGGCCACACTTGGTTAATCCACCGGGATGATTTTCCCACAAAAGTTTTCCCTTCAGGAGATTGCGGCCACGGTTTTTGACTTCGCAGCAGATTAAGCAAAGCGCCTCCCCGCCATTTTTTGTCCTGCAAACCCTCCGATTTAAATAAATAAATAAATAAGGGAAATAAATAGGGAGGAGAAGGCAGGCAGGCAGGCAGGCAGGGAGCAGATTGGCTGGCAAAGGTGAGCAAATAAATTATAAAGGCCCCCCCCATCGTCGGGCACGCCCAACAACACAAAGCAGGGGGGAACCGGAGGTGAACAGTTAAGGAAATGCTACTGGCGCACCTCGAGACGTAAGATCCACTCCACAGAGTCCACAGTAGACACCCCCCCCCTCTGTCTCCCCAAATCACCAAACAACTTCGACCAAATTCTTCCCAGTTCAGACAAAGTGCAAAGCCATGGAGACAGCTCCAGACACGTGCCGGGAAAGATACTACTAGGACGATGTCTGAATTGGTGGCCTACAGATGGTAGAGAACATGGAGAGGAGGACCTGTGGATCATCTCAGCCCTGTTTTCGTGTTAAGGCATCCTTTTCTCTAGACACCGAGGTGAGAGGCCTCCTTTCGCCCGCACACCTCCAATCGTATACTGTTAGGGTTTAGTTAAGAAGTTTTTGGCTAATTGTGATGTTCACAGCTTAAGGTTCTGCAGTTGGCACACAGCCTCCGCGAATAACTCCACGGTTGGCATCGTCGGCTTTAGCTCGTGGCAGTACCTTGATTTTTGCGCCCTTATCAATCTCGGTCCCTTGCATGAGATGGATCTGGAGATTGACATCCAATCGTGGAATTCGACGGTTGTTGTGAGTCTGGTCTACGAGAACCAAGGTAGCATCGGTCTACGTTGCGGTGAGATCAACAATGGACGAGTGGAGAATTCTCGGTTTCGGTGGTCTTCTTCTCTCTCTAAGTAGGTCTTTTTAAGGAGACTCCCCCTCTTGGAGCCGAGCCAAACGTGGGCCCCCGGGGAAAGTCTCTGGGTGCAGCACCCCCCTTCACAGAGATCGGCTTCCGGAGGGGCCAGACCAAGCCGGCTTCGCGCTCCGACAGACGCTGCAGTCCGGGCGAGGTGAGGAACGGCAGGGTCCTTCGTCAAAGACTCGTCGAGGACACTGAGAGGGTGGGTGAGGATGGGGGCGGGAAGTTGAGGAGTTCCAGGACTGCCACCCCCACGCTGCTGCGCCGGGTGAACATGCACGAGGCCGCCACCCACTTGTTGGTCCGTGGGTTGTACTTCTCGATGGAGTTGAGGCTGGAGCTGCCATCGTTCCCACCCACAGCGTAGAGCCAGCCTTCCATGGCCACCAAGTCATGGGTGCTTCTAAAAAGAAGAAAGGAGAACAACGGAGTTGGAAGGGACTTTAAGAGTTCCCTCAAGCAGGAGAACATCTGGCTATAGCTAAACTCTAGCAGATGTAGCTTCCGCCAATGGAGCTTCTAACCCTACAAGACTCACTTAAAATGGGTGGAATGGAGGTAGCTTCAGACTCCACCATAATCTTCCTTCTTCCTACCTCAGCTTTCCTTTTCCTTCTTCCTTTCCCTTCCTCTCTGCTGTACTCTGCCTGTGTTTGTACTTACTTACAATCTCTCCTCTCTACCATGTTAGAAGAACCACTTTTGGTATTGTATATATGTCTCATGTGTTATTATGTACCATATTTTTCGGAGTATAAGACGCACCAGAGTATAAGACGCACCTACCTTTTTTGGTGAGGAAAAGAAGAAAAAGAAATCTGCCTCTGCCTCTAAGTAATTTTGCCTCATTGCAGCAAACAGCAAACAGCCGACTTTACTTTCAGTTTCGTTTTCAGCATAGCTTGATTAGTACAAGGAAAAAAAAATCTGCTCCCAGCAATTTACCTCTTTGTAGCAAGCAGCAGAGCCCTGCGCAAAAAGGTTGAGAGCAAAACAGCTGAGAGTCGGGAGGCCGATCCAATCACAGCTAATGAGGCTGTGCTGAAGCTGAAAGGAGCTGTTTTTTCTTGCTGTTTGCTTGCAAGGAGGTAACTGCTGCGAGGCAGAGGCCAAAGGGTGGGGCCAGTGGGTGGGAGGGGCTATATTTGGTGTATAAGACGCACTTAAATTTTCACCCCCTTTTAGGGGGGAAAAAGGTGTGTCTTATACTCTGAAAAATATGGCATATAAAGAGAAGTTAATGAATCCTGTTGCATCAGTTACCTGGGCGTGCTTTCTGGATTTGATTGCTGCAACAAACTCCGACACTCCCTTCTTGCTAAAGTGGTGGGCTTCAGATTTTAAGATCTCGCCTTCCACATTTAAGAGGGCCAGATTTTAAGGTAGGAAGTGGAGATAACTTGACAGTTGGGACGCCGCGATCTTTGGGGCGCTGCTCCCTACCTACGGATGTTCATGGGGGCCACACTTTCCCACGTGTTGGTTTTGGGATTGTAGCGCTCCACCGAGTTAAGGCAGCTGGTCCCGTCGTTCCCTCCGGCCACGTACAGCATCCCTTCCAGGACGGCCACGCCTGCACTACTCCGGCGGCTCAACATGTTGGCAATGGGTGTCCAGGTGTTGATCTGGCAGATGAGAAACAAAGGAGAGGTTAAGAAAACCCAAACTCTCGGCTTGCCAAAAAAAAATCAGCTTCAAAAAAATCCTCTCCTCCTTTTTTTTGACTCGTAAGAGAATAGACTTGAGGATTCAGAGTTTTGTTTCTTCAGATCTTTCTTTCTCTTTCTTTCTCTTTCTTTTTTCTTCCTTTCTTCCTCCTGTGTTTCCTCCCTCCCTCCTTTCTTTTTTCTTTCTTTTCTTTCTTTTTTCTTCCTTCCTCCCTCCCTCCCTATTTGTTTCCTCCCTCTTTCTTTCTTTCTTTCTTTCTTTCTTTCTTTCTTTCTTTCTTTCTTTGGATGTTAGTTTCTCTTGCGGCTACGTAGGGATTCTAGGCTGATACCCAGCGGTGGGATTCAGCCGGTTCGTACAGGTTCGGTTGAACTGGTAGCTAATGTTTTGTGCAGTTCAGCAAACTGGCTGAATAGCGAGGTTATAAAAAATAACCTCGCCACGCCTGGCCCCTCCCCTCCCAGCCACTCCTTGCCTCACTGCCCAACTGCTCGCCAGGCCATCCAGCTGCTTGCCCAGCTGGATGGCAGGGCAAGTAGCTGGGTGTGACAAGGAAAATCTATGGAGCCGACTAAAGAAACTGGTTAGTCAGAAGCGACTCAGTAATAAAACCCAGTTAATAGAAGCCATCATTCAATCTTGGTTTCACATAACAGCTGCAGAACTCAAAGGCTTGGTTCACTCCATGGGAAGACATTGTAAGGCCGTCATCCATGCTAAAGGTTACCCAACTAAGGATTCACTGACGTGGTGATAATTTTTGAATATCTCATTTTTTTCTACCTGTTTCACTTTTCTTCTTTAGACTGTAGCTGCTATTCTAATAGCAAATCCTTCATAAAAGTTATTGCATTATTAAATTATTATTGAATATTATTTATTATTATATTATTAAATCTTTCCATTGATATATACTTTTATGGCACTACTGCAAAAAAAAAAGGTGGAGTTATTAGCTAGTTTTAGAAAATACACTTTTCCCAAAAGGTTTCTACAATTTTGTATTCTATTAGGGCTCATGCCATCAGAGCAGGAGAGGGGTGTGTGAGAATCCTGGCCCACCTTTTGCCTTCCCTCCC